AAAAGTTTTCTCTACCAGTTTTCGACAATGCGATAAAGTCCAACCTATGCTCAATAGATGCCTCTGCAAGAAACCTTCTTTTAGCCAAGTCTTTTAGACCTCTGCTATTCCAAAAGATTCCTTTCATATCTCATCATGGAATTTTTTTAGCTGTTCGGATCCGAGCACTCCTACGCACTGCGGAATCCGGGTAGATCTTCCGCTTCCATTTGTGTTTAGGAATGTTCTTACTCTCCAGCTGGTCCTCACAACCAGGCTCAGAAGTTCAAACTTCAACATTCTCCACACTCTCATCCTCCTCCTCAGGCTCAGGAAGAGGAGGAGCAAGATCCGCACAAAAATTATCGAGCACCCTGACCCCCAATGCATCAATATCGGAATCATTCATGGGTTTAACCGCAGCTAAGTTACGAATCATCTCTAAAGCCCGCTCTGCCTCTAAATCCAGCATATCATTAACAGAAAGTGAAATTTCACTATCATTACTACCTAGTGAAATTCCTAGCTGGTTTGCATTATTAATAATCTCATCATTAGAAAAATGCAATATAGAATTAGAGGTATTAACCGACATACCAGTAGTGACCTCCACGTCACGAAGCTTGGCCGCCCTCATGGCGCACCGCTCCTGTATGTCGTCCACCTCCGGATGATCCTGGAGACGGCTGCTCAACCGTCGCCCCTCAGAGACCGGATCCGGAATACCACCGAACGCAATCACCTCCTCCCGAGTAGCCCTGCTCGTTGTGGGGCCTCCTGCGCCATCCCGAGAACGCAGCCGGTCATCTTCCATCGATGAACCAGTTGGACCGTCGGAAAGTGAAGGGGCACTCAACGGCACCGGCAACGTCTGTCGCGCCCCACCACAGAGAGACTGCACCATGCTGGGGGAAGGTGGAACCTGGGCCGCCTGCCCGAGCTCCCCATCCACCCCGGCCCTTCGGCCAGGAGGAGTCACCGGCGTCCCAGGTGGGCTGACCCCCCTGGGCACCCCAAGAGAAGAGGGCCCCGAGGCCACCTGCCCCGAGCCCCCTCCGGAAAGCGGAGCCACCGCCTGCATCTCTGGTCTGGCAAGAGGAGAAGAAGGTGTCAAGGCCAGCTGCCCCGGACCCCCTCCCAAAGAAACAACCTCCACCACCAGGACCTTGTCCACCACGAGCGAAAAAGAGGGCGCCGAGGCCAGCTGCCCCGAGCCCCCATCAAAAGATGGAACCGCCACCTGCAACTCCGGCATCACGACAGAAGTAGAGGGATCCGAGATCACCATCCCCAGACCCCCTCCTGGGAGAAAGACCTCCACCACCAGGCCCTCGACCTGAGGAAAATCAACGAGCATGTGGGAGGGAACCTCCTCCTCACTCCTGGCCCGGATCAGCAAAACCCCAAGTAGTGGACTCACAGGTTCCTCAAACTCCAAAATAGGTAACGTGTGCTCAAACACCTCATCAGACTCCACCCGCTCACTCCAAAGTCTTGGAGGCGCAGAAGCCGGCTCGAAGGACCCAAATCTCAGAGTAGTCGTAGGCACCGTTGAGGGTGGTACCGTCCCATCCCCTGACGTCTGAGAAACAGTTCTCGGTGTAGTAGACGACTCTTGTCCACTATCAGCAGCCGACGCTTCCTTAAGTCCCGAGCTATCATCTCCCTCGTGCATATCAATATCAGTCCCGTTAGCCGCCTCAGCGAACAGACTCTCATCCTCAAACTCAATCACGAGGTTATAGATCTGGCCTTGATAAGCCCACTTGACCACCTTAGGCACGTACTCAATATCCAGAACACTGACCAGCAATCGGGCTATCCCGTGAGCTCTGGTAAAGTCCATATCCACTCGCTCCGGTCTCCCCACCATAATACAAAAACTAGCCACAACCCTAGCATCATGCATCGGCTTCGAGGGAGCCCTAGAAAAACGCAGCCAAACCTGAGTCAGAGGCTTACCCTGAGGCTCGACCCTCTTCCACTCGTGAAACTCAAGGACACAATCAGTACCCGGCACTTTGCACATCCCAAAACTCAGAAGTCTCTGTAGATCCTCAATCGAAGGGAACTCAACCCTAAACAGTTTTTCCTTGAGACTAACAAGCTCCCACTAGAAATCACCTGGAGCTAGCTCCTTCAGCCTCTGCACAATATGTGCCTCAGAAACCTCTCCTCTGGTAATTTTGACTATCCCAGTCATCAAACTCAGAGTCTCGTCAGGAACCTCCCTCTCAGTAGGAGACTCAAAGAACGTGAGTTCAACACAGTACACTCCATACATCATGAGAGTCGGTGCCTGATCTCGCAAAAACGGACAGTCCCCTTATCATGTGGCGGTTTGCCACAAGTGCCACAAAGTTCAGCCACACACTCATCAATAAAATGACCCTTCCCACCACATTGATAGCACAACATTTTCTCTTTCTTACGCGCCCACTTGGATGCCCTCTCCGACTCAGCCCTGTCTGTCGCCTCCACTGACGTTGTCAACCCGGACTCATTCTCGGGTATCTCAGCATGAGCTAGTGCCGACACCACCTCCATAGCTTGACTTGACAAAACCGGCTCCTCAACATACCCGTCAACGGCCATCTGCTCGACAGCGGGCGGAGGAGGCTGTCGTGGGCGGTACCGGCCACCTCGACCACCACGACCACCACGATGACCGCGGAAACCACCCCACTGTCGATAGCCCGGGCTAGACGCCCCCTCAAAAAAACCTCCTGGGGGACCCATAAACGGTCGCGCTACCGAGCCATCGCTCTACCAAGCATATCCTCGACCATCACCCGTCGACGAGGAGCCACGGTGCTGACCAACCTCATAAGCATTAAAACCATCATCTCCCCACTGACCCCGGGGCGCGGCAGAAGAACCTCCAACACCAGAGTTTTGAGGCGAAGGCGGTGCCTGCTTCTGCACCGTCCCAGCCCTGCTCTGCGTAGGCTTGGAGACGAGGTGAGGCAGCGGGGCCGGCCTCAGCTGTTGCCTGATCATCAGCCCCGGGTTCCTCGGCGCAGGCGGCCTCGGTGCGGCGCCACCCTGGCCCGCAGCGGCGATCCCAGCCAACCCAGGCGCCGGTGGACAAGGTCCAGGAAGCTGCCCACCACGCTCGACCGCAAGACCAGCCGAACCAGTCGCCGGCGGGTGGGCACCGGGCAACACACTACCACGGCCCGCAGCCGCACCGGCCGTGGCCGTGCCCCGACCCACAGCCGAAACCGGTGGAGGCGCCCCTCCACGGCCAGTCCCAGGGACCGGCGGCAGCACCGCGCCACGGCCACCGCCAGCGCCCGGCGGCGGTGCAACCCCGGCGCGTCCGGACCCGGAGGGCACGACGGGTTTTTTCCCCAGCGGCAGCGCACCACTGCGGCCCGCCATCACCCCAAGTGGAAGAATTCGCCGAGCACGACCACCCCCAGCAGAACGAAGGTTCGGACTCCGGCGATGAAAAACCCTTGTTGGCGAGGAAGAGACAGGGAACGTCGGTCGATCACTGCATACTCCGTCACCCACATTAGCGATCAGGACTTGACCTGACTAGGCCTCATACCCAGCCGTTCCCGGCCCGTCCACCTCACCGAAGTCACTTCGGTCCGTCACCAGGATTAGTTGGGTTGGCACCGGTTTAGCCTGGGCCTCATACCCATCTAACCCTGGCCCAACCAAACTCGGCCCATGTGCACACTGAATCGGCCCCTCTCGGCCAAGCAAAAAATTCAAACGAAGCGCTCGGTCGGCAGCGATCCCGATGCCCGGAATTCCGGGCATGACCGGCGCAGACGCCGCCGGCGCCGATCTAGCCACCGTCCGGCGAGCTTTCTTCTTTCTCTTAACGACGATCCATGACTCCGGCCGAACTAAATCAAAAACGGTAAGATTAGGAAGACTGACCTTCGGGATAGGGCCCTTCCAAGGCTTGACCACCGTCGCCGACGTTCTCCGATGAACCACTCGGCACACCATCTCCTCTTCTTGCCCGCGTGCAGCCCTATCCTGGCCGGATCATCAAGGGGCAGCACCTTGTCAATGGTCGTCACCGCTTCCTCTTCCATGTATCCGGCATTGAAGAACTCGCAGATTTGGTCAGAGGGAGTCGGCGACAGTGGAGATAGCCGAGACTCGTCCACATCTCCATCTGCATCGTCCTCGTCAGCGTCTGCGAGTGCCCAAAACCGGCCCCCCACCCGCCGTCGATTGCCGGAGAGGCGAGG